TAGTAGCTTCAAACTCTTCTAAACTTTCACAATAGGTGGATTGTGTTTGTTGTAAAGCAGTGGCCTAAATGAGTTTATCACGAAAATTCAGTGTGCAAACGTCTCACAATCCTTGTTAAATGTCCTTTAAGAAAAACAGTTAAGTAGCTTAATCGAGAAAGTTGTAAAAGGGGTCTTTGTAATTTATGAGCTTGTCTTAAAATTCAGTCATTTTGGTCGAAATTACTCCTTAACAACTTTAGTAAATGTCTCGAATGAATTGCGACATAGCGCTTAAAGCAAAGTAATTACTTCATTTGGTGGGTTGGTTGGTAAAATCTGTAAGAAGGACTAAGTTCAACGCTTTTGCCTGTAACTTCAGTTCCGTAATGCTGACTAAGATGTCCTCGATAATCCCAAAACCAAGAAGTAATATGCCCCTGCAATTTCTATTGATAGAAATAATGCTTCTTGTGGCGTCAAAAATAGTTAGATTGATGAGTCATAAAACCTCTCGAGTAGATTGTATCTTTGTTTGAAAATACCGCCAGATGGTTAGATAACCTAGGGTTGGGACAAAATCAAGGCTTTTTTAAAGTACTTATGCTTGAATTTAAAGCTTAAGGCTGACTTAGTGTTTCGCGGTGAGAGCATTTAAAAAACTGCAGCAAATCATTCTATTTTACGACGTTCCTCTCGACGGGGGTGATTTGTTCACTTTCGCTAGCCATTGGCTTTTAAAAATGCGGGAGCGTTACCTGGAGAAAAACACGGTTGACTCCCGTAGTAATGTAGGTTGCCAGAAAAGTCTTGCTCTGATCTTCCTCAGAAGCCAAGTCCACTCCTCGATGGTGCAAAAGAGGCATCAGCCTTTCTCGAAGCAACGACGCCAACTTGACGACTGTGGCTCGAAGGTCAGCCAGTGATATCTGCGTCACCGCTCCCACTTCATTTTCCACAGTTTGGAAGGATATGACCGACGTCGTGGAGTCAGCGTCATAATTCATGTCGAATGCTCGGTCGCCTAGTTGAAGATTTGTCACGAGGCCATTTGACTCGGCAAATTCACTGCTCAGGTGTCCAGCAATGACACTCACTTTTGCGCCTAAGGGTGAAGGCATAATTGAAGAGATTCGCATGAAAAATACAACTGGTAAATGCAAGTCAAAATCGGCACCGTGCCATCCGATAAAGATTTGGCGAAAACCTTTATATTAGTAAGCACTGAAGCACAACCATTAATGGCGTTTGCTGCTTACAACTTATTTTTCCTGAAACATTAGGCAGTAGAGCACAGCTTTTGCTTTACTCTTTCCTTAGCTTATCAAAATGATCAGTTCTTGTACTCTACTAAGTGTAAATGAGATAGTAGATAGTCAAGAGGACTGTTAAAATTCTCTTACATCCTTCAGTCTTTTGAGCCAAAAGAATACGTTTAACACACAGAACTGGGAAGTATTTTTATGAAACAGCCTACGTAATCTGCCTTGTTAAGGTTGCTTACGACAGTACTTGAAAGGGCTTCTATCAAGAGATTGCAAGCATGGCGAGAGACGCCACGTCAACAATTTCACCGTAAGTCTCAGAAACTCCAAATTACGATTTGAGCTGTAACCGCCAGACATTACGGAATAAATGTGCAATAGCTGGACTTTTTGAACTCCCAGTCGGAAAATTATGAGACCACTTTACTGTTGACCTTAACAAACTTTGTATGCCACACAATCTCTCTGCACGACCGCCACTTTTTGACTACATCAGGAGCAGCTTAGGGCTTAAGATACATCGTACAAAGTAGTACTCCTTTTTAAATTGGAAAAGATCAAAATACTTTAATCATTAAACCAAAAGTTCTGTTGTAATTGTTTCCTTGTAACAAGCACTAAAAGCCTAAATATTTTTTTTGTGTCAAGAGGAAGGACTTGGGTAAATTGCTAAACCTACCTTTCACCGTGGTCTGCATTTTGGCGTGGCGGAAGTGAACGTCAAACGGAACTGGCTTTAAATAGACACTTGACAGGCCAGTTGACCAATTCCGTCGCATCACATGGCGCATTACCTGGCCGAATAGTGGTCCACTCACCTTAGAATGAAACCTCCAAGTGTCTGCCGATTCGGTTCCCTATCATATATTGCATGAATCCACCCAAGTGGGAAGGTCATTGTTGAAAAGGATGAACTTGACCCATGCAATTCCACGTAGGCGTTGAGATGCATTTGCTTACATTAAGGGAAATGAAAAAATGGATGGTCCTTTAACGTGAGATAATGATAAGCGGATTCGTTGCCCATGCGTTGATCTTCCTGCATGCTGTAATGTATGTACGGTAAAGAGCTCACTACAATAATGGACAGAAACACACATATTCAAAGAGTGAGAACTTCTGCCTCTATTACACTGACATCATCATCCGACGCACAAATGCTGAGATTCTCTAAGCTGAATAACTTCATCAAATTGTAATCTAAAGTTTTCCACTACGCCTAATGTTGTTAATTGCGTGTTAAAATAACAAAGGCGCCTCGGCAACATTGTTAACCTCTAATGCGTTGTTCACCTCTTCCTTTTGGCATCCTAGGCACTGAAGGTTGAGTATTCGTATTTCAGCTAATAGAGTTTGATTCTCCGAGCTATAGCATAGGCGTCCAATTATTCTATAGATTGTCAGTACTTCAAGAAAGTCTCACAATTATTACGCCGATAGCAGAGGGAGAAAGAGAGCGATAAACCCGACCCCATTCCAATTTCTCTTACTGGGAGGCTCCGTCTCTACACACTGAACGAAGTATACATCAGGGATGACGAACTCGGTGACAACGTTTGGTCTCACTATCTGCAGGAATGGTAATAGTTGTTAACCGCCAAAAAATATCATTTACTAAGTTACTCATAGCACCTTCATGAAGTCCTCTTACCCCATTCGACAATTTAATTTCATTCTTTGTTTGAATGACTTCTAACCTAGTTGAGCTACGAGAGAAAATCAACAGTATTGAGGCGGTTTGATCGGGAAAATGAGGAGCATTAGTGCTTCCAACCGTCTATATCCTTAAAATAATTATTCTACGTTTGTACTATGAAGTCCTTTGCCTTTAGGGAAGACCCGGCGAGCTACGAACACGACTGGCATTTTATTCCATGTGTTGAAGAATCCTAGCAACACCGCAACTTGGCTGGCATAAGAGGCAAATACAAATTGGAGAATTGGCATCCATCATGAGAACCGACGTTAAGAACGCTGGCCCACAACATCTACATGCTGGCACTCTGTCACATTAGCGGCACTAACTTTCCATGCCCCGTGTTCACATCGTGAAGTTAAGAGAAACTGTTCTATTTTAGTCCATTGGCATTATTCAATTAAATGATGATATGTCTGGTTCTTGTTAAGCCCATTGTAAGTAAATGGGACAAGTCGGAACCCCTAATTTCCGAATTATGCGTTTCGATGAACTGACAATGCTTCAATAAGGCAAATTGATGCATGCAAAGAACTCTCCGACATTCATCTAAATACACAATGCCACTTTCTATTTTGCATCCCTCAGTAAACACTTCTTCTCGAGGCTTTAGACGAATAATTTACTCAAGTAAAAGATTACAAGCGTTAATCGTGGCTTCAATTTCTCCCGAATAAGCCAATTTTTGAGACGTTCTAGAGCGCAAACTCCGTTGGCACGACAAATTTCAGTCCCAATAATGCGGAACCAGAGTTCAGTTGAGTATAAAAACCTACGGTCTTGATCGGTCACTTTAAAAAGCGCCAAGTGAACTACTTTTTAGCAGTTTGCTACAACCGACTTGAAAGCAGAGTGCTTGTCTTTCTTGGAACTACTATAAACATTTGTGCTGAGAAGAGCAAGGAAGAAGTGCATCTAGTCAACCACTGCTGTCACAGAAACACTGGTTACAATGTGTTCACTAACGCTGATCCCTTCTAGATGGAAAGAACTGACTTTTTGGTAGTTGACTTGCAAGCTTCATTCCCTCCTGTGAAGCTTTTATCGCCTGATAATCACATTTTGAAGATCAACTAGTCAATTCGGGGAGGTTTATGGCTGTCTAACCCATAAGTTTATTTAGTCTCGTCAATACTTACGTCATCTGTTGATGTGAACAGTGTTCCATCCCCTGTAATTTAAAAAATTTCTGTTAATACTGTAAATTATTAGAACG